GGGTTGTACATGAGAGAACCGAGATAAGGAGGAGTAAAAGGAAGAACCGAACTACGTATAGTTCGGCCTACTTTGCGGCTCAGCATAGCCATGATTACTTCGGTCATGTTGGAGTTCGGCCATGGTAATAACCATCTCACTTGGTTTAAACAGTGAGAGGGGTGTTGGAGGATAAGGATTATCCTTCAGGAGGTTAAATCCTTGGAGGACTCTGCGTGGAGGAGTAGAAGTCCTACTAGGATTATGCCACACGAAACCTATAAAAGCTCACAAACATCACCTTTGGAGAGGTAACACATAACTTTGCTTTTTGAATTCACGGAGCTTTTGTCTATTTGTCAAGCCTACTGACTTAGGCATCGGAGAGGTTTCCGGCACACACCCGCCGGCTAGCTCACGTTTGTGTTTTCAGGTGATAAAGCAACGACGTACAGAGGAGCGCAGACTTGATCAACAGGATTATACGAGAACGTTTATTTCTTTCCCGTACAATTGGCGCCGTCTGTGGGAATAACAGACAGGACAAAACCTCTTGATCAAGCTTTGCCTCTTGTGGAACAATGGCGTACAATGAAGAATTACCACAGTCCGCCATCGACGGGCAAACACCAGATGAGGGGGCCAGGCGTGAAGGATTACCTTCTATCCCTCCCATGGCGGACTTGGAGTCCCAACGACATAACCCCAAGAGAGATACTAGGGGAAGACGGACTCACAGCCCCCGTCACTCTCGTTCACAAAGTCCTGACAGACAAAGGTGGAGGATTGATCCTCAAGCTCTGGAAGACCGCGTGAAAGAGCAAGATGAATTAATAAGGAAGATGGCGGCGGACATGGAGGCCTTGAAGCACCAGATAAAGAGAAAAGAAGTGGCGACAGGAGAAGGGCGCAAAAACAGGACGCCCTCTCGCCACTCAGAAAATCGTAGTAGGAATACCACACCCTCGCAAGGAGAGAGCAGAAGCCTCAGGACAGGCGATACTCAATCCAAGTCTTCCAGAACTCGTCACTCTAGGTCTGAGAGGACGAGATCTGAAAGATCATACACTGAAGGAAGCACGTATTGGCCCTCACATACGCACCAAACCAAATCTAGACAGACGGAGTTACCCAGATCATCCGACTTACAAACCGTGCTCGAAGAAAAAGCACGATGCAAGGAGGATGCCAGGGCACGGGATCCACACAGAGTTTCTGCCTTACAGCGGTTGGCTCCTCGGACGCAAGGAAGCGTCGAGGTTGGAATGCCAATACCGCACCCT